TTTAGCGTCAAAATACAATAATATGCCAGACCTAATGGCGTGTTTTTATCCGAGTTAGTATTAGGAATCAGTGGACGGTCCTGCAGCCACGCTGCAGGCATTGAACGAATGCCCTAACTAGCACATAATGTATAATATGGAGATGCACTAAACTATATCAGAGTGTTTTTATATAATTGTGAAGTACGAGGACGTCGGTTGTTTTTCATTCACTCGCGCAGACTCGTTCGTTCCTGTTCGTATTTAAATTCGTTTTTAATATAAAGGCTTTCCTCTTCACGCACAACCTTTATCCAATGGCGCCGCATCTCTGGTCATAAGCGCGATGTTTTGTACGCTGTATAGAGAAGAGCGTTCACACAATCATCGAACGGAGGTAAATACGCAGATAACAACTCCGGTGCAGCGGGGAATGCCTCGCCATTCGAAACCCGAACAATATTTTAAAGCTATGAAACGTCCTGAGATACCGATCTCCAGATAACTTAGCAACAAGTCATCTCGAGCTCGAGCGCGAATCTGCACCCTAAAATTCCCGGACTAGGTTTCAAAGTAAATATCGTTTTGTCCCGAAACGCGGCTATCGCGTAAATTTCAACTTTCAGGAGAGGCTTTTCAATTTACATTCGAATAGGAGACCCCGGGTCGATGGAATCGACACTTCATTCGGGGAAATAGAAATTACTTTTCGAATTGTTATTTTCATTAGGAAAGGTTTCGATACTAACTTTCTTATCTCTCAGAGCCGACGATTTTACTTTTCTAATAAGGTTTAATTAATGGGCGATATTTGACTGAGCCTAATTATTATACGCCCCAAAGATACTGCGGAGTCCGCGAGAGCGACATTTGACTTTATCATTTCGTCAATGAAAGGAATATGGCCGGGTAATAACCGACTCCAACATGATGGTGAATATTATTCGCGTTTTTGTTAGGCTCTTGATTTCCGAATATCTATAGCCAAAATGGGTCGACGGCGCATCATCTATGGCTGGAGTGTTTTACTTTGCATCGAGTGACCCCACCCGATGTAACACAATTAGTATTTTGGTGACATTATTTCTGCCGTTCTTCCCGAGCCTTTTCACAATTAGTCACGAACTAAATTTACGTATCCTCAGACGGCGTACTCGACGATAGTTTAAATGCTGCTAAGAAAAAGTATTATCGTCACAAGCACGAGGGACTATTCATTGAAGTAACAAATTATCTATTTGTTAAGAAATTCGACTAAACGGCTCTCATTACGGTCCGAAATCTCGCCGAGAGCTAAATTCACTTCGCTAAGAGCGCGCAAAGGTCGTCGGAGATAAAACGAGTCGACGCTTTATTTGCAGCCGCCGCGAGGCTGCGTCGTAATTGAATATTCTTCTTGGCCGAGTGGAGTGTATGCGAGACAATATTGTCTAACAATCTCTCGCATATGAGCCGGCTCGCTCGAGCGTCCTCATATCCCGCCCGTTTGTTTTCCTTAGCTCCGGCCACTCTATAATCGAATTGCGGTGAACATTAAAGGAAAGCGCCCACAACGGCAACTCTTCAAAATGAATAATGTTCTGAGACCAGCGCCTTCCAACGAACAATTCGCATAGACTGTGTCGAGTTGTAATTACAAAGTTTTTAGCCCTCCAATCGTTATGATTTGCACATGTTATGCACATCTCGAACACCTCTCTATACGGCTCAGCGTCACAGTTGGACTGGACCCAAGTTGTTCCAGTTTACATATCGCATCTAATAGCCGTGTCATTTGTAGGACACGTCGCAGGTGTCCCATCCGGCCGTACATGTAATACCTTCATCATAATGTAACCTTTTTTATTTATTACTAGTTGTGCCCGCGACTTCGTTTGCCTGAAATAGTGACTTGGGGTAGAATTTTTAATTATTTAGGCTGTTTATTTATTTATGTAATGGCTTATTTGTCGCAGCCAATCTATGTTGTAAGTGCTACTTTGCCGCAACACTCTCGCTAACTCCCACTCCCACTCCTATTCCCAAAAAGCCAAAGAAAAAAGTTTCATTGTTCTAGCTTCAAAAACCACGAAATTCCATACAAACTTTCATCCCCCCCCCTCCTTGAACCCCTTACACCCCCTTTTTGCAATAAAAAGTAGCCTACGTACTTTCACACCATCTGTGTACCAAATTTCATTCAAATCCGTTCAGTAGTTTTGGCTTGAAAGAGTAACAGACACACAGAGTTACTTTCGCATTTATAATATTAGTAAGGATAGTACTACTATAAGTATCTCACATTTTTTGATAACGTATCGTATGTAAATAAATAATTGCACGACGAATAAATTGTGCCCAATCAAAAAGCTAATCCCCGGGGAATAAAACGGGATGCGAGTCAATTTTTCGTATAATTCAGTCGCGACTCGTGCGACTGCGAGTTGATCGTTGAAATATTACGCTTACATCGAATTGAGTCACATTGAGTGTCGCCGATTGACAGCGGAGCTTGCCTAGGCGATGCTAGCGCGGAATCACTTGTCGATAAGTTATACATTTAATACGCGTCCTATATGTTTATATTTTCGACAAATTGTTTATTGTCATATGAGGAATCAGAACTTTTACTGATTCGAAAGACAATACAAGTAACTTAGATTCGAACTTCGGAAAGGGAAAAGTCGGGTGCGGATAATAAATATATAGCGGGTCGGCGTCGTCGCGACTTAGAGCTTATGTTAAACGCTGGAAATGTTTCCGTAGTGAAGCTCTTAGTGCAGTACTTAGATTCGAAAATTAAAGAGTAAAGGAGTGTTTTATTCTTAAATCCATAAGTTGAGTCGGTAACTTTGTGCTTCATACTCTTTGCTATACAACACGAACGACAAGAGTAAGTTTTAAGCATTTTTGAAGAGAGCGGCGTCGGAACATCCATCAGCCGACGAAATTTCATCTCCATATCTGGCGAAATGTATAAAGAATCTAGGTCAGACGGGCAGAACGAATTTATAAGGGCAGCGCCACAGTGTACGCCTCGCGGACAGATGTGGCAATGGACGGTGACTTTGAAATGACTATAATTTTTGTAAACGGCATAGAAATCTCGCACAAATATACATTTTACTGAAATTGGGTTTATCAATCAAGTTTTTTAACAGTTGAAAGCCACACTACGACAGTACTATTATTATTATTATTATTTTCTTTCGGGGACACCTGTGGTAGGACGGGTGATCAGTCCACGTCATCAGCCGACCATTTCACCCATTTCCCCATTTCCACCTTGTGGAGGTTTTGGGTCATCCAACTCTACCCGTGTCCCCTTCAAACCTTCCGGTTTGCTTGCAGAATCTTATTATTTTTTCCATCTGTAGTTCTTTAATGTCTTCTACTGTGACTTCATCCGAGCCCATATGCATTTGTCTTAGCCTCGAGTATGCAGAGCATTCAGTGAGTAGATGGATGCTTGTTTCCTCACTTTTTCTGCACTCCGGACATAAGGGGTCGCTGCCTATTCCTATCATTGTAAGATGTCTGTTTAGACGGCAATGTCCTGTTATGATTTCTACGATGAGTCGGATGTTCGCTCTCGTTAATCTCATCAGGTTTTTGGTCTTCTTTTTGTCTAGGCTATGTATGAATATCTTCGACTGTCTCATTCCAGTCGAAGACACGACAGTACTAACGATGAGATGCAAAACGTATCGGAGCGAATGCCTCATTCGGTTCGTTTGTGTATTAAAAGCTGTGGAAGTGTGGACAAAGGGTGTTAGCCTACTTTTTGTTACTTTTGACTTTTTCAATTAAGCCTCTCTATGTGTTGGGGCTTTTGTCTATTTTAAATTGCTTTTTTTGTATACATTTTTTACTAATTTAATAGGCTAAAGTAATACTTTGTTTTTGAATAATGCTATGAAATATAGTACAAATTGTATTCGCCCCGATCGAGGTACCTTGGGGGTTTTTATACGATGTATATCTACAGCTCAACGTATGTATGAATCTGTTCCTTCTCCGCCTAATCCTTTGGATCGGCGCCAAGATAAACTCGGAAAAGAAGTAACGATATTATTTTCTAAAGAAGATGCAAGTTAAGAACAGCGATTATGACATAGAGATAATTCGCACGTTTCGTTTTATAGCCTGTTACGTATGTATACTCGTGGAGCTGCCTTAGTCGAGCCCATAAATCTCCAACATAAACACGACACGACAGGGTGGGTGCTTACCCGGCTGTCCTTTGGCTCGGCGCCAAGCTTCGGACGAAACCCAGTGAACGCTCGCCATCGTGACATTTATACGCATTATCATACATTTCGGACAATTGTAGTGGATCCTACGTTATAGTCAACATTTTCCGTAGTTTGTCGTTTAATTTCTCAAAGTGGCGAACGAATCCACGTACGACGAGCAGTATGGGCACGTTCGGCGTGGCCCCGAATCCCCGGAGAGGCGACGGGCGGTCACGTGCGGATTCTCATCCTAGCTATTGTTCCAAGTTGCTCCTCGCTCGGCACAAAGGGCGCTTTGTCGCCGGTATAATGGCCGAATGCCTGACACAATCTATAAATAACAATTAGTTGTTTCAACGTCTCGTGCACGTCGGCATGCAATTATTTTATATTATAATTGTTAAATACAGACCGTTTTCTAAACTACGTAAGCGCACAGACACTGTAGTGAAACATTCCGTGTACCGAGTTGGTGTCCCAGATTCATGGCATTATTGTCAGCTGAACTTGATGAGGCCCGACTCCCGTAGTTCGTGTCTCGCCAAGTTTTCCAATTAATATCTGCAACCATTTGCTTGAGATTATATTTAAAAATTAAATTCTATTTGTACTTGTTTTCGCCGATGTAAGTATTCTGTACAGTCGTGTACGATTTCCGTGGATAAATATCGAGGCTTCGAGGGACTCGAGTGTCGAGTGCATCGGAGTGGCGAAGGCGATACCGACTCGCAATATTTACATCCGCTCGAGTCGCTCCGTCTACGTACATAAGTCTATTTATGGAATTGACTTCCTCTCCACGCGTGTGATGATTTTGATCGAATGTTAGTTCAGCCGATACCATTCAATACACAGATAAAGCGACACTTTCATGACTGCTACGAAAGTGGCGCCTGCATCGCGTGACAAAAAATAGCGGTCGCTCCGCTGTGTTCTCTCGTTACTGACTCTCACAATATTACGTAACGTGTAGACTGTAGGCAGCGTTCGGCATCTGGCAGGGCGCCCGACAAGCATCTGATTACATTTGAAAATATACAGCTGTTATATATGAGTTCTAGTGGTTTCTCTGACGTGAGATTTTAAGCGAGTATTCGCGAAGGCCTCCGCTGTCGACGTAAGAGCTGTCGGGTTTGTTCTTCTTCATTCCTGTGCAAATTGGGATGAGGAGGAGAATTCTATAACATCATTTGTCACCTGACTTTATGCAAACTACAGTGATTGTACCGGAAGCGAGGCAATTATAATAATAATAATTTATTTGTCAGACCATAAATCCATACATTTCTTAAAATTAATTAAATCTAATGTTTGTTAGTTGGGTTAGTAACAAAATTAACTAGACAAAATGAAATATAACTAAAATTAAGTAGACAAAATGAAATATACACAGTAAGTGCTAGGCGCTTATAATTAGTCTAAAATAAATAACAACTCGACCTTTATACGGGGTAGAATTGTCTTCCTTCTTCTTCAGCACGGCAGCTTTATGTCTAATAAACTAAAGGTAAAACATTTATTTATTAGGGGCAGTAAAGTTTTGTAGTCCTTTGGGAGGCAGCTTTAAGGAATTGCCTAGAAAAGTTGTTGAAAGCCATCTACTAAAGTAATATTATATTTATTTATAAGATGCTCAACAACTAGAGTACATAATTAAACTTCCAAAATCTATTTCAAATAATAAGTCTTACCTAAACGTTATATAGCTCTGAGTTGGATACGACTTTGGTAAGCGCGAAACCTACATTTCGTTCGTATAATGGGGTATCCTTGAAAGCCAGTATAAACTTAAATAAAACGTTGCGTTTGTTTTAACCAATCTCATATATTCCTTTACTATACTTATAAATATCTGGGAATGCTAATTAGCACCAACTTTTCGGTTTTCTACATGTGAGTAGCCTTCGTTAAATTCTCGCGCGCAGCCGGAGCGATTACGTTCCAGCTCGAAAATGCGCTGAAATACCGCTACAAAACATTCGTTTTATATATACCTGTGCTCGAATCGAATTTTTTCCACCTTCCGATGGCAGCTTCCACTGGAACTAGCCTAGTGTAGCAGTTTAATTTGACAATGCGGGGGTTGTCTTCCGCCACGGCCATTTTGCCTCATGAATTGCAAATGTGCCATAAATGAGATACTGTTTTATTAAGCGCTTCGGCATGAGTGTACTCGGAGAGCGTCTTCTCGACGAGAGATGAAAGACTCAGAAACGAACTTGACGTCCGGAAGAATTTATTAAACTGTTCTAAATGCGGTGATAGTGATATATCTGTGTCTCTACGTACAATACTTTTTCAAACGCTCATGTCAAGTAATCATAATTTACTTTTATTTAAGGTACTAAGAAGCGTGCACTACAAGTGTTACGTCAAATTATTTCCATATTCAGTCCGACTTTTCCATCTGTCCGAAGTCGCGTATATCTAACCAGTAAAAGGTCTTAGGCAATAAATACGAAACTGGGGAACGATCGCAATTCGCTATCGATCTCTTAATGTCTATATTGAATTTCTTGAAAGAATTTAGTTCGGCGATGCTCTACGGCCGAAAGTGTATAGTTTGCGAATTTAAAGCTATGAAACTTGTAGCGTAGGCTCCGTGGCTAGTTCAACCATGACTACGACTTACCTCTTAGTAATAACAATATACAAAACCTTGTTTTCTATGAAAAGCCACTTGTCCATTTTTATTCTGTCAGTATTTACATAATATTTAGCACCGTCTTCGCATCGCACACTTTGAAGCGCGAGCCTAGTCCACCTGCACCGGTAAACGGTCCAGACGCTAACGATCACAGTATCTCCTCGCTTTTTATTGCTCCAAAGCCATTTCATTGTGAGCTAGTCACGTACAGTGGAACTCGGACGATTTATTTTATTCCTTCGACATCGATTGAAGTAGCTCGTTTGACTTTGGTCTGTGGCGATCGAAAAATCAAATAGCGCTCTTTCATTTTCCGCGACATAAAGGAAGGGCGGTACGCTTCTCCCGTGTAATTACATTCCAAACGATATATTAAACAAAAGAGCGCCTAGGTGTCAGTGTTGCAGCGCCCGCGGAATAACCGTCTATATTGAGCCAATATTGGTCATCTAGATATAAATAGAATTTACTTTACAGCCGTTGCCTCTTCTTGTACTAAATTAAATACCAGTCATTTGTACGTCTTAAGACGTCGACGACAACCTTTCACGAGCGTTTAGGGCCCTCGGAACGGCAGCACAATAGTAATTTATTGTTCTTAATAGGACGATAAATTTCCCGTGGTCCCTAATTAATTTCTCCGCGAAATTCATTGTCGGAACGGAGTGCGCAAAAAAACGAAAGTCGACCAGCATCAGACAAAGGGGAGCCACAGCTTCGATTCGGGCGATTTGCAAACTCATCTTCTGTTTATAATAATGACTATTATAGCTCTCTGGGACATCGAAGCTGCGAAAGAGACGCTTTGCTCTTTATAAGGTCGAACGCCTTCAAATAATTGTGCTGTTTGAGTCAACTTTTTCGTCTTGTTTTCCGGATCGAATGAAGGGGAGCGCGGGGACACATCGAGTTTTAAAACTTCATCCGAAAATACGACACGACCGCAGAGCTCTTATCGCGCCTATGATGGCGAATTTGCTCCAAAAGAGGTCTGAACCGTAGAGAGTCGGGCTCGTCAACAGGTGCCCGAGATAAAGGCTGAATAGTTTCTGGCGCGTATCGGGCGGGCCGTTACGTAGATAACGCGCATTCAGAGCGTCGGGCGCAAACGACGGGCGCTCGGAAGTCCTTTTTGGCTGTCTCCGCGGCACATTATCAATGCGAAGCGACGCTCTCCGCATTGATTACGTCAGCGCTTTCAACAAAAGTACAATTGGCAAAAAAGATATGCTACGAACGGTTTAACGTCATTCTTTAATATAGGGACCGAGTCAATAAATTAGAAATGATTTGGTAAACGGTGAATAAACGGCGGGGCGAGTTGCCGACGTTACGCTCGGCTTAACCTGAAAAGAACCTTCAAGATATGAACGTTTTTAATATAAACTCTCTTTTCGGCTTCTATCTCGTAGGAAGTCGTGTAATAAGTTGGCGTTAGCCGCAGAACTGCCGCTAGATTAAATACGTACGTCGTTAAAGGGTAAATGTACGGATTGTTGTAATGAAATCGTTTCAACAGACTCGTCGTTTTGCTTATTTTCTTCGGTTTGAAAGTGTAAAGTACAAAACAGTCTGAAGTAGAGAGCAGGTTGAAGAAAATGTATAAAGAACCCGAAAGAGGGCACCTCGACATGTCTAAACGGCCGAGAAGTTTTATATGAGGTAATATACGATATCTTACTCGGAGAAGTTTGTATTTATTTTCGGAACTCTACGAGCTACGGTAGCCATACTGTTCCAACTTCGCGATACACGTATATTTGGAGTGTTTTACGCTTACACTTTTCTCGATATTTTTACAACTCCCACTGTACACATTAAGTGGCTCGTATTGGTATGGAGTAATTACAAGTATGAATGTCAATGTGAATACTGTAACTTTCCTGGTTAGACCTGGCGTAGCTAGACCAGGGTATCGCCAACTCGCCATTTGGATAAAAATACGCTCAACACTTCGCCGCTTGAGCCGCTGCAGAGCATTGTTCCGGTGAGATTTCATTGCGCCGCGAATATGTAGAACGCCGGAATTATTCATTTCCGCTCGTCAGCCGATACAAAAAAGATTCGTCTATTGTTCCTCGCGCCGTCGATCTATCCCGCGATAGTTCCTAATACCCCATCACCGGCAAGAACCCGACCTAAATTCGTCGGCTTCGTCTTCGCTCCGCCTTTTCCTTGTCAGGCCAAGCAAAACCCGCCGCCCGCTCCCACTTTCCACTTTTTGTCTTCCTCTCTCGAGAATAATAGTGCACTAGATAGATGATTGAGATACGTCAATCTTTGTTACGCGTTACTGTTGTTCTCGAGATATTTTCTTCGTTAAGTAATATTCCGTAAGTGCAAAGTTCCCGCGAGCAGACGTTCTTCGCTGTAGGGTTAGAGTAACGATAAAGATCGCGCCGTTATAAATGAAGATCGATCGCCATTCGAAAAAGCATTAAACTCACAAACCCGACGTCTCGACCGCGGGTTGGAAAACTTAAGGCTTTAATTTAAGTGGCCCTCGTGTTACGTAAGCCACTCGACGGAAGAATCTCTCCACCCGAGTATCGTTTGAATATTAATGTTAGATTAAATGTACTTTTTAAAGGCCACTCCACTTTATTACCGACTCTTTGTTCTCGCTTGTATCCTTTTTCATACCTTCCACGAAAGAGGCAAAACAGTTTTTCACGTGGACCCTTTGCGGCCGTAATGGAAGGCAACTTTTAAACGCTGGAAAGCGCAACCGATAAGTATCGAAGTAAAATTAAAGTAGAATACAGTTATCGCACCGAGCGAAGAGCCGAAGCCGGCATCGCACCGCTGTCGCAAACTCACTTCCGATCGAATGCGTCAGCGATGCACACCGCACACCGCACTGCAGTATTCCGATACTCCCTATTACTGTTTTATTCCACTTATTGAGTCTCCAGCTAATAGCCCCTTTACCTGAACCGCGGCCGCATCCAACATTTATCCGGGAAAGTTTCTACGTCGCAACCGAGCGTTTGGAAAGAAAACGATCACTCCACTCCTGGAAAGCGAGCGATCGTGGTGCTATAATAAGTCATCTCTTCCTATACTCGTAGAGAGGCGTGTGAGCAGCGCGAGTACGGCTGAGGAATGCGCAATCTATGCAAATTTCCACCGACGTTGAACCTTCTAATGAATATGCAAATGGCCACTGAGCGTGTGTACTCGCTGCACGACAGGACACGGCGAATCGCTGCGGCTTACGAGCCTTCGCTTATTTAGCGACGTCGCCTCGCGTCTACGCCGCTACGAAGCGGAGCTACGAGCGCATCATTGGACTCTTCATTTAAAAGAAAAGATATGAAAGTTTTTCGATTTTGCGAGACTTTTACTTAACAGTTTACAAAAAGAGTTGTAATATTCAGTGGATGTCGTCGTATCTCAGTGTTACCAGTTACTGGCTGGCAGAACCGTAAAGTAAACCGTAAATTCGGCCTTCCCTTTTATATTGCGTCGACCTCTAGTCGCCGCCAAATTGAAAAATCTAACAAATTCGCGTTCCGAATCTTATATTTAGAGAACCATAACAGTTTGTTGCTTTATGAGCAAGAAGGTATAGTAGGTGACGTGTAATACGTGCATTCTGGCAAAGCGCTTTAACCGTCGAGGGGAGAATGAGAGCTCCAGATCCTTTATAAAAGCGTCGCCGAAATACGCCAAAAGCCAAGGATTCGTTTTTACCCTAAAAGTGCTTAAACTGTTATTTATTATTCCTTTGAATGCGTTTCGGCTTAACTTAGTTTATATAGGAGGTCGGTGGTTTTTCACTTAAGACATACCTGACACCTCAAAGTAAGAATCTTTTAATAGTATCCCCATCCAACTCTCACTAGTGGAGCGCAAGCATTATCTTATCGGCACGGACGCGTTCGGCTCATTCGTGTAATGGCTAAACAACACACTCGTTTCACCTGGAGCCAGCTTAATCGTGTCGGCTTTCCGGTGCAGTAATTACTTCTGCTATATCTCTCATTATATACCGCGGTATGAACTAATACGACCAAAACTTAGTTCTAAGAGCTAAATGTTAACATAGGACAAACGACCTGACGTAGCCCACGTTAGTGAATAAACCTTTCATGAAAAGCTAAGCCCTGAAGCCTCGACCGGATCTAGCAAAATGTGCAAAGCTCCAGCAAGGCGCACGGAATAATGTTGTGTTTTGCGTTCGAGTGAATTCACCGGCTTGCTCTTTTTGACGGCCGGTTCGGACGGCCCTTTGCGCCCAATCTATACTAATATTATAAAGAGGAAAGATTTGTATTTTTGTATGTAACGGTTAAACCGTTCTGGACCGATTTTAATAATTCTTTTTTTTTTCATTAGAAAGCTGCATTATCACTGAGTAACATAGGCTATATTTAGTACTAGATTACTATAGAAATCTTTAGAAATTTCTATGAAAAGCGACGGGAGGTGTAAAAAAATTTGCCGTAAAATG